ATCAAACCCCCCCCCCCCCCCACAAGGGAGTCAGACCAGTTGCACATGAAGGGTAAGCATCTGTTGCTGGCATGCCACACCCGTCGTGATGTTCCAAAGTCGAGAGGGGGGGGGGCAAGGGTTATTTTCGTTCAACGTAATTGCATTTTTTTTGTTCGTACAACGTAAATTGAAAAAATAAATTCCGTAATTCTGTAATCACAGGCTAGACGTACAACGCAATCAATTAAATATTTTTTCGTACAGTGTAAAAATGTATCATTTTTTTCGGTACGTACAAGAATTTTCTAAGTTTTCTTTTTTAATTTTCCGTAAAATGTAATTAACCGTTATTTTCTCTGTAAACTGTAAACATTCAATTTTCACTGTAAACTGTAAAAACGTCCTTTTTTCCTTGTAAATTGTAAAAGCCCTTTTTATTTCCCGTAAAACAGTACCAGCTACCCCCTTGCCCCTCCTCAAAGTAATGTCAGGGAAAAATGTCAAACCAAGTTTACTGGACAAAAAAACACACCAAGTACAAACACGACCACACACATCAATCAACAAACAAATCTGCAATCATTTTACAGACAGAAATCCAATAGGAAGCTGTCAAATCATGATGCAAGTTTAAGTCGAGGAATCGGGAAACCCTTGGCTTACCAACTTGGCAGTCAATAGCTGAGATCTGATCAGGAAATATATGTTACTACCACCGTCGGTTTACTTGATCTGATTGGGAGATTTTTTTTTGTATGGCTTCACTAATGTCGGCAACAATACTTGTAAAGCTAATTTCAAATACTGAAGATCGTTTATTTTACAGAAGAGAATCATGGGCCGAAACGTCCACCCTGGTCGAAACTCTTGGCCGAGTAAAACATGAGTAAAACATGATTGTTTGACTGGACGCTTACACGTTGCAATAGTTGAACCTATCTAAAACCCTGGTCCGTTGTTTTGATTAACTGTCTCGTAGGCGTGTATGTAACTTTATTGCGTCTACAACGGTCACTGGGGCGTCTAGGAAAGTGTCTGGGGATGTTGCAAAGTCCCTCGGTAATTACCTACCATGTACGGGAGTTAGGTGTATGTGCATATCTTGCGCCCACTGTAATAACTGTAAGTATAAGTTGTTGGAGTATGGATTAGCAATATGAAAATCCGCAAATGTAGGAGAATACAATTTACAATTTTTTGATTCTCCAATTGTGGGCAAAATGTGATATCATATCCACTGTTGTGAAAAATTGAAAAAATGCTTTCATCTATAACTTCGAAAGTTGAACTGCACATTTGCTGACAGTTTAGAACATGGTAGCATACATGTACCGGTGCCAAACAAGTTATAGATGTAATCTTTTTCTTAATTTCTGACAACAGTG